CAAAGCCTACCCCATCTCTCTCAAGAAAATTTTGTGATAATTTCCAAATACCCAACCACGGTAAGGAAAAACGGAAAAAGATGCACACTAAATACTTTCTTAAAATGTGGTAGAAAGATGGGAAATGTAAGAAAGTGTGACTATGGTGGACAACTATACTAGTCCAGTGAACAAGATAGCAATGTCTCTATCACTAATGGCAATGCCAAAGAAGTCAGTGGTAGCATTGCCCATCAATATGGATGCATTAGAAGAGTTGTTAATTGTAAAATTACAAGTCATGCACAAGATGATCAATGCTATCATCGACAGAAGTAGAAATCAGAACATGATTTTCACCAAGCTTATGTAGAAGTTGGGCTTGAAAGCCCCCATCCTAACCCCTTACTGAGGATTTAGAAGAGTCCAAACCAAAAATTTGTAATCACAGCAGTTGAAGTTCGCAATCACCAAAAATTACATTATCAATTCATCTTTAGTAGTTCATAACTACATGATGGATACACAACATTGTATCGCCACCTCTAGTAGTGCTAGAAAACAAAGGATAGTAAGTGCTTGATAAAGAAAGATGATGACATGTATCGGACCATGGCAGCAACCCAAGCAGGAAAAGTAATACATGATACGCAAAGATTTTTGTTTTTGAATATCAAGCCCAACAAAGAGGAAGCAAGGAGGCTTGCTCTTTTTAAATTATGCAAGGACAGAGATCTGCAGGCTACAGCTAAATTTTTTTTTGGAGGAATATGAATTGCTCTTCCGGAAGTACAAGGGTTGGCACCAAAGCAGCCCATCAAGCATGATATCCAGCTATAATTTCAGTTGTTGAGGATGAAGAGATCAAAATGATACTACAAGGTTGCAAGAGAGTGGAGCCATCAGGCCAAGTAATTTGCCATATGGATTACTTATTCTCGTAATAGCTGACATCCTCAAGTAAAATATGAGTAAAGAATCGTCATTCATTGCAACAAATTGATAATCCAGTTGATCAAATGAATCCGGTCACCCTCTTCAACAAGCTGGATCTTAGATCTGCTGTCACCAAGTGTGCATCAATGAGATAGATACATGGAAAACATTTTTCAAGAAAAGGCAAGGGTTGTACGAGTGGTTATTCATGGTATTTGAATTTTATAATGCTCTTGCTAAATTCATAGCATCGTTGAATGAAGTTATGCAACCATATACTTGTAACACTTTGTTATCATCAATCTAGATAATATCTTAATCTTCAATAGATCATGAGAAGAAAATTCGAAGCATTTGAGGAAAGGTGTTCCATCTACAATAGCAACATCAGCTCAAAATAAAAATATCACTTTTTCAAAAAAAAAAAAAAAAAGTCTATCTTGAATTTAAAGTAGGCAATAGGAAAATCAATATTGATCTTATAAAGGTGAAGGAATCATAAAATGGTCAAAACCACAACCAATGGCTGATGTGAGAAATTTTATAAGAGCATGTGAATATGTTCATAAGTTTATTCATCAATTTTTAGCACTTGTAGCGCATTGACATGCTCCAACCAATGTCAACTTCGAGGTTGAATGAGTCCAAAAGCAAAATGATGCATTCATGTTATTAAAAAAGTAGATAAGTGAGGTGCCTATTTTAGTCTTGTCAAAGTTATATAACACTTTGAAATGTTCCAAAGAACACCAAAGAATTATCCCACATGCATCAAAGAGTTATTAGCACTAGATTAAGCAATGAAACAATGATGTGCATATCTTTTTCTTTTTTTCTTTTGTTTTTTTGGAACATATTGTGCATATCTTTTGGGGAAGGAAAATGTAAAGCAAACTAATCACAGGCCACTTAAATATTTGTAGTCACAGACCAAGTTAGGCTCAACATATGAGTTGGAGGACTACTCTCAAACGATTCATCATGATCCCTTGACGACAAAAGGACCATCATACTCTCTTGACAACCTACAACACTATAACATTTGAGTACTATTCCGTAAATTGAACCTTATATGCATAAAAATTATTACAACAAATCCCTTTTTCAGAGGATATTAAAGGATCTAGGAAGGGTTTCTGTTTTAAAGTTTACTCTTATAGATGAACCTATCTGTAAAGGAGGAAAAAAATGCATATCATACTCAAAAATGCCTCCAAAGCAGTCAGACACTTTCAAGTGAATAACATAGTAAAATCTATAATGCTACTCTTAATAGCCATAAAGGTAGTAGGACATAAGTAGTAGGACATAAGTATAGCAAATGATGTATTCACTGCAACATATCCAAAATTGCAAACAAAACTCGGATTGCACATTGCTCATACCAAGTCAACTTACCTTCATATAGAGTGGGTAGATTTTCAAAATAGTCATTTTAATCCCTTAAAGAAAACCATCACTGCAAGGAAGCAACATTGTCCCACCATAACTTCATTATAAATAATCAAGATAACTATTTTTTGAGCCAATTCCGACTAACATATATTAGCTCACTTTGGATTGGTGGAAAAGTAATTGGAAAAAACTCAATAAACCATAAAAGGGTATGCATGATCATCATTGTGTCAAGGAACACTTCTTACTACGAATAGAATTACATTTAGACAAAGATCGCCTAAAAAAAAAAAAAACAAGAAGCTGAAGTCAATCGAATATGACTTTTAAATTTCACAGAAAGGTTGGAGATTGAAAATGCTTGCTAACCGGAATTATCACCATTCATAAAAATGCATTCGTAGGTCAATGTAAAGAAGTTGAAGCCCTTTGAACCTTCAATCTTCATGGTTAATGTAAAGAGATCTTGTTTACTATGGATGATCTACTTTTGGAGTAAAAAGTACCACTGAAATTAGAAATCCTACTGAAACAAAAGGCTGTCAGGCATTCTACATTGGCCGAAAAGTTCAATTATCAAGCAAAGCTAAACGATACACCAAGAAAGCTAATTAAACAACTTTGCCTCATTTGGAGCTTTAATTTCATAGCAATGAAATCTTATGAAAAGTGACACGTGATTCAGGGATTGAATCAATGAAATGGCCAGTTTGACCATCCATTTGGGCATAGGTGATTAAGTTAATGATTTTAACAATCTACTTTCATTATGAAGATTGTCAAGGGAGTTAATTTTTAGATCAAATTTTCCTCATAGAAGATCCAATAGTTAGAAGTTAATAAAAGAGGACACATTGTAAATCTGTGAATAGATTATTAAGATCCAAAAGCAAAACATCTGAATCATGGGATTTTGATCCAAAAAAAATAGCATAGGGGTTGCTTAACTAATCTAAGATCCATTATTCAGTGATCCAATTTAGAATGGGCTTTTCTTTCAAAAAGTCTATTTAGATAACTTACAATTTGATTACTACATTTGAGATAAGTTGTCCCTCTTTTATAGATTTATTTAGGATTGGTTAGGATCTTATTTTCCATCGCATGTGATCGTAAATATGTTAGTTTTGGTAATAAAAATTGAACAGTAATTCTCCCAGAATCCTCATGCTCCCCAACTAAACCCAATTGCAATGAGAAATGTATAAGGGTTTACTAGGTCTAACACTAAGATTAAATTTGTTGCATGCATGTTAGGATTTTGAAGAGAAAGGCAAGAGAATGAATGGCATATTGACTCCAATAAAAAACAAATATCACATGTTATATAAGTTGAATGGAAGACAAAAAATAGTCATAAATTATTGTATGTTGGGTAGGTTACAAATGTGGATGGAATGAGAGATGATAAAGAATAGAGATTTTAAATATTAAATTGTTAAAATCACAAAGGATAGTGATAAGGCGATTGTTATTAAGTTAATTACTAGTGAGTGCATTAAAAAAATAGTTTATTCTAAAACTTATATTTGACTACAAGACTTTAAGATCTCAAAAAAGGTCAAACAAAGTAGTCACCTTGTTCAAAGTTCTAGACTTGATCATGCCATCCGCCTTTATGATCAAAGAATAGAAAATACTACAGCTTAATTGTTTATATCACCCCACATCACTTTTGTATTAGCAACAAGACATCGATAAAAAAGTTTCCAAAAAGTTTCATTAATTTTATTTTAGCAAATTCAACTCTTAAAAAATCAAACATATTACTATGATAATCAGTCAATAAAGAAAAAAGGGCTCCAGACCTCAAATTGCATGCAGCAGCAACCAAAGAATTTTCAAAATAGGTACGAAAACCATAGAAATCAATCAATGTAGAAGTTATTGATCATAGGAGAAAGCCAAGAAAGTGGAAAAGTATGTTGCACAAGCTACCAAAAAGAATAGGTTATTGAACACACCGAACAAAGGACATGGAAAGAGGTCGACACAAACATGTGAAAGGCCACATAAAAAGGATCGCCGCTGCTCGATTCTAGAGAGAAGCGTTCCACATCAATGAATATATATAAAGATGCCCCTATAAATTGGAGAAATGTAAGCATTGTTCCAAGCTCACACACATAGGATTCCTATACAATAGGACCACGGAACTTCCAGCAACTTCATAGAATGACACTTACCAACTTATGATAATAACTCGAGCACTAAAGTTGCAACATCTCGTTAATCCACAACAATTTTCATAGCCAAACCAATTCAAAAATTCTTAAAATAGATCTAAATACATTGATAGTCAATATAAAAAATAGGCCAACCCCTTCAGACCGTAAGTGTAGGTAAAATTGCAGGTTGGCATCAATTATCCATACCAAACTAACATCTCTGAAAAAAATAAACTACCATGAAATGTCAGGGTATGATCAAAATATCCACTTCATCAAAGTTCAAACATTATAGATTATGGGGAAAAAAATGCAAATTTAAGTTAAAAAAAATACTAAAAAAAAAAAAACATGACATCATTTTCACTCGCAAGTTGGCATTAACATCTTTAGCAAATGATAGAGGATGTCATTACAACAAATGAGAATATAAGATAATTCCTCTATATTATAAGCTATAATAAATGATGAATATTCTATGTAAATTAAGTTATGAAGCATTGAACCAAATTCACAAAATACCTGGTACTCGAACAAACGTTTCACACATTTTGGTTTGCAACGTTCTTCGAGATATTTCTTTGGGTCAACAAGTTCCTCATCAGCCCTAAATAACAATTTCAATGAAGAAAGCAAAAAATGTTGCACAGCTAAGTCACTAAATAATAAGAAACAAAAGGTCATGTTTTATTATCCACATTTACAAACCAATAAAAATCATAAAACTTGATTGGAAAGAAAAAAATCATGGATAGAATGCATTCCTATTTGAAACATTTCAAAATAATTATAACAACAAAGAAAGGGAGTATATAAGTAAATGAAGAACACACAAACAAAAGAAAAATTCCGTCAGAAACTTCTTTAAGAAAAGCACTTCAAAGTTGCACTAGGGATTTGCTTCAAAGGAGTGGGCATGATGACAACTGTGTAGTAAAGGAGAAGTTTGGTGGTTCTATCATTTCAATCATAGCGTGACCAAATGTTAATCCCCCAATTGTCAAATGACCATAAACTTCAGACCCATATGTCAAATTGTTGCCATTTTCACATTCCAATGTACCAGCTAAGAAAATGTTCAAATAATGACTTGCTAAAAATTCTATATTACATTCTAATAATTCAAATTAACTAGCATGCCTTGTAAGAAAACCTACTCTGTTCTCATACTAATACCAATTGAAGCATTCTATGAAATAAGAAAATGGCACAAGCGGATCTCAGAAATAATCAGAAAAAAAAAACTACATGAATTGGCTTCAATAACTACAGAACAAAAAAGGTTACCAATCTTATAATCTTCAAATATTAATTAAGGTTTTCTTTTTTCCAGCCCAACAATAGCACTGCAAGGATAGCACTTTATACACAAGGTTTTTATTTATTTATTTATTTATTCTATTTTCAAAATAAATGTGGCTAAAGAATGAAAGCAATCGGTGCCTAAGTAACTACGAAACACAAATAACTATCCTGATAGTTCCGAACCAAAAAAAACTTCTAGTTATCGTTGAACATTTTGAAATATTTCTAATCTCACCATGAAGCATCCAAAAGAATGTTACAAATCGATTTTGCTACGTTTCCCCGCATTAACACAAACAATATTCAAACCTCAACAATACCATCGAATAGCAAAAAAAAGTTCAAAACCTCTTGATTCAAGAATAAGCAGAGAAGAAAAAGATACTCACATCAAGATCAATATGACAGATTTGAGTCGCTCTTCCTGCAAAAGACCGGTGCCAGGAGAGTTAAGATCCAAAATTGCGCGGACCAGAAACTAAGTATAGATGGGAATGCGATCGTGAAGCCGCTTCAATTTAGAGAATAAGATCGTGGGAGAAAATCTACCTTCCTCCTGACTAGCTAATCCGTCGTGGTCTCGAAACCGTCTAGGGCTTTTGTCAAGGAGCTGAGCAGCAGATGATCTCTGGCAAGCTTGTAAATGGCTCGGAACAATTGAGGACCAAAAAAGCGGGGTCAAACATTTGGGAGGCTTGGGACGTCTTACAACACAAGAAAAAAAAAATTGGGGGGATTATTCATACCTCACATGTAATTTTTAATACAATTAAATTAGTTGATAAAATAATTAAATAAATATATTTAAATTGTTAGCTAATATAATTAGATTATAAAAAATTCACAAATATAATTATAAAATAAAAATTATATATGTCTGATAATTTAAATATATTGTATAATTGTTTGATTGTATTTGCCTAATAATTTAGTTATATTATCCAATAGTTTAATTTTATTAGAAGATAGTATATGATGTATGTATTATGGCTCACATGAATTCATACTTATCAATACACATCATTGGTATAAATTATGGATCTGTTTGGGGCAGCTGCAGCTTATCAATAATATGCTGATAAGTAGTTGATCTTGATAAACTGCTGATCAGCAGCTGATCAAGATAAATTGATCGATTGTTTGATTTGTGTGTTTGGAAAACAGTTGTTTTTTAATAAATGATGATTTTGTCCATGTGCAGTGAAGCTGTTTGCAACAGAACTGTAGGAGATGAATCAATCAACGACGCGATAAAATGAGAACATTCTAATGTGTAGTTTTTAAAGTGCTCAAAACTTTAAATTTGCTCAAAGACAAATGCACGATACCACATATTACATATCCAATTGAAATTTAACTAAAAAAATGCATAAATAATATGATTTATGTGGGTATGCATGTAAATCTTCCTTTTCATAATAATATCACACTCCTAACTCCTAGGCATATATGTTAACAGCAATTATATAATAACCAAATTATAAAGCTTTATGCAAATTATTTGAACATTCATACCCATTTAATAAAACACTTTATCTTGCAAATAATAAAAAAAAAAGTCCAGGCGTAATGTGTAACTAAACTGATACAACAACAAATGAGAGCCGAGCTGAAGCCAATAAGGTATACCGTAATCCTCTGTTCTCTTCCCTCTCCCTCAACACCCTTGTCACTAGATGTGAGCTCCGTTATTGCTTGCCGCTGCGACACTAGCCCTCCGGCCATGTGCTAGCTCGGACAGGCCTCTCATGCCAAAGTATATGTATCAGCTAGTTCAACTTACATATGAATAGCACTGGACTCAGCTTATTTGTGTGCATATTTTTCCTTTACATGTTATGCAACAATCCAGACCTTTTTGCTTTCTTGGATGAGAAAGGAAGACATCGTAATTTCTTGAATACTAAATTTAGTTTCCAAGAACTGGTATTTTATATCATGAAACAGCGCATGAAATTTGGAATGACCTGAGGGAGTGACTTCAGCAAAGTAATGGATCAAAGATCTTCCAACTTCAGCAATAATTGATTAATCTCAAACAAAATGAAAGTAATGTTGGTGTTTATTTTGCGAAATTGAAAACTATATAGAAGGAAATAAAAAATTATATACTAAGTGGTGGTTGTGGGCAATGCAAATGTGGTGGAGTTAAATGACATACAGTATACCACCAAGTTGAATCGTGGCTGTGGGCAATGCAAATGTGGTGGAGTCAAGTGACTGACAGTATGCAATGCAAATGTGGTGGAGTTAAATGACTTACAGTATACCACCAAGGTGAATCCATAACTTCTGTTATGCTTATATGAACACAAATATTAGCAGTGCAGCCAAGATTATTCTTCTAGATGCCTATATATCCCCACGCCCACTGTCATCATGAAAATAATGTTGTCAGGCCATCATCGGCCATCATCGATGTCTCCAGGCTATAAACTCCATGTTGTTCATTTTTGTGACCATATCAACCCGTCAAAACCGATACGCCACCAATAAATTTTTCATCATCTAGCATGAATCTTGAGGCATGACACGAATCTCGAGGTAATATTTTGAACACAGGATTTTCAAGTCTTGATAAAAATTAATCTAGAGCTCCTATTTTAGCAAATTTATAATCAAACTGACCTGTTCGATGAGACAAACCTAATGATATAAAAACTAGTCTAATCTGAGTCAAATCAAGTCCAAATCAAGTCATTAAACCATTCTTGAATGATTTCTAGACACATTTTAAAGGTCAAACAGTTGTCAAATATGACAAGTTTATACTCGAATCGAGCGTCTCAATAAGACAAACCCAACAAGCCCAAGATCACTCAATTCTAACATCATTAAGGCACTCAAAGGTCCATTAAACGTTGTGTGATTGAGGAAAGCTCTCCGGACCGTTTGATCAAAGTGGTTCATATTCATGCATTAATTGCACCCAGAATACTATAAATAGAGCCTCATATCTCTCACGAGAGGGAGCTGAAGTCTAGAGAGAGAGCCTGAGGTCTTGAAGAGAAGCTGCAGCTCAGCATCACCGCGCGATCGTCGTTGATCTCTGCCGACCACCGTCGACCACCGTCGACCGCCGACGACCATCGTCGACCGTTGTTGACCATCGATGACCGTCGCCGACCTCCGCCAACCGTCAGCGACCACCACTAACCACCATTGATCACCATTAACCAGACGTCGCCAGTCGACGTTGTAATCTGAAAAATATATTTACTCTTCTCTTTCCCGTCTGTGCGACAAGGGATTTTTATAATCATCAATCAATAGTGGATTTCCTCGACTGAGCCAGACCCTGTAATTTTTCCTTACAGGTTTTCTACGTAAAAACTTCTGAAGTCATCACCACTTGTTTATCTTTCATCTGTGTGTGTTGAACTTTCGTACAACGCTAAGACAATAGTCTGTCACTCTACCACCATGAGATTTCTAATATACATCAAAAACTTTGCAGAGCACCAAGGAAAACTCAAAATTTTTTAAAATAAGAGTTTTCGGAATATTTTTTTTTCTGATGAGAGAAGCATCATCGCCCAAAAATAGAGGTACAATTGATGTGTCATTACTAAATTTTATCATTTGGCATGAATTCTAATGTATTTTTTTAGCAATAAGATGCTCTTATTGATATTAAAAATCATTCATAGCTTGAATTTTATCAAACTTATAGTTAATTGACCATCTGACAAGACAAACCCATCAATGCTAAAATTTTTCTAATCTATGTTCGATTAAATCTGGATTAGGCCATCAAACCACTTTTGAAGCTTTGCTTAGATATTTGGAGGGTCAAATTAACTCCAAATTTATTGTACCTACAACAAAATTAAGCGTCTTGATGAGAGGAATCCAAAATGCCCAATATCACCTAGTTATGAAGTCATTAAAGTTATTATATCATCAAAAAATCTCCTATGATCAACGGGAATCAACTTGAGTTAATTGATTGGATGGTTAAGAGAGTTATTCACCAATGGAAAATAAAGCCCGTCCCCTAGGGGCTGTAAATAGACCTCCTCTTTTCACTTGATGGGGAAGATGAGAAGAAAAGGAAGGAAAAAAAACCTAATTTCAGAGCTCTTTTGAATTAAAGTTTTGGCGACAACTTTCAACCTCCTTAGTCGTCGACCACCACCAACCACCGTCCGACACCCCCACATCAACCACCACCAACCACCGCCCGACTCCCCCACATCAACCACCACTGACTACAACTTGCTTGTTGTCGTTGGAGAACTTTGTTGAGTAAAGAAGTACTATGTTGAGTAATGAAGTATCCTATTGAATAACAAAGAAATGTGTTGAGTAACAAAGTATCTCATATAATATTCAAAGACATACCTCAAATACGACGTATTAAATATATAACGATAACTCCCGGTGACAATTAATATCGAGTTTTATATTCAGAATACACTAAATATTTCTATATATTGTGTACAAGCAAATGTTGTACTTGGTATAATATTGTAACACTTTCCCAGTTACAGGATAAGGTTCAATCGTTATACTTACAAATTTATAGTGAATCATTTAGGTTGGGCTAGATCATTGATTTTTCTTCTTACCAGGTTTTTCACATAAAACGTTTTGGTGTCCTCTCCTATTTCTTTCTCATCATTTATGTATGTGTTGCATTTTAGTATAATAGAGAGATGTTAATTTATTATTCTATCAACGTGATTTTTTTGGCACGCAACAATGATAATTTCGGAGACCATCTTGATTATTTCTTGCAAAAAAAATGATGAAAATAAGTATTTTAATAAATGATGATTATACAAACATCCAACACACATTTAGATAAATAAAATACATGCATGCACATAAGATAACTTTCTTAAGTGAAATATCCAATAAAAGATGGAATTGTTGGGCCTATCAAAATTTGAGGCATCCACTGAGTAATTTTTATTTACATCTTTCTAGCCTTCCAATAATTGAGCAATATGGGATTGGAATTAAAAATGTGTGTTGAAGAAACTCTATCATATAATGATCGCTGATTGTGCTATAACACAATAATGTCAATTAGTTAATAGCAAACATAAGTATGGCTAAATAACTTGGGTCAGTTTTTATGAGTGATCATTGTCATGTGTTAGTCAACAATGGGAATATATCAATACATGGGAAACAACAAATGTTGAAAGTTAAGTTGGAAGGTGTTGAGCACTAATATCAAAAGATGAATGGTTATGAATGTTGACAATTATTTGCAAAAAAAATCATCAAACATAAGAAATATTAAATTAGATAATATGATCACTTTCTAGATATAGGACAAGAGCATGATGAAGGAAGCTATTAAGTTCAATAAATGAAAACTCTATAGATGAACAAGTGGAAATTATTAATAAGGCTTTACAAAAAGAAAATGTCAACGAAATAGATATTTCTCTCAGTAGAAGTTATCACTAAATATGCAAAAACATTATTTTTTGTGGATTTTAAATTGCAATTAGAGCTCTAAATTTTATGACCCAAACCATTCCCTCATTGTAGAAAGTCCTTGAATGATCTTGCTTATAGGTGTAATAGAGTCAAGCTAGCTAGTGAGCTTACCTGAGCTTGGCTCAATAAATGGCTCTTGAGCTAAGCTCGGTGAGCTAACTAGCCAAGCTTAAGACAGTTAGGACGTGATTCGTTCACTCTTGAGCTTACTCATTTATAAAAATGCTGATAAAAAATGCTCCTGAAAAA